CCCCCGCCCTACCCTCCACCGCAGCACCCGGCCGGACAGTGGGGACCACGGGGCTCTGTCCCCCGTGCTCAACGGCCAAGCATTCGGCGGGGACCCTCCGCCCTCCCCCCACGAGGGAGCAGCCTCACCTGTAACCGGCCAGGATGTTCATGAGCGTGGATTTCCCTGCGCCCGAGGGGCCCATTATGCCGATGAGCTCGCGCCGGCAGAACTTCCCGGACAGGCATTTCAGGAGGGTCTTGTACCCTGGCAAAGGGGAGGAGATCAGGGTGAGCCCCACAACCGTCACCTCTCTGGGACGGAGGAGTTGCCCCCTCGGCAGGAACACCACCCAACCCTTCGCCCTTCTCTGGCCCCTCCACAAGGGAAGTGGTGGATTCGCCACCTGTTCTCGGCTCCCATCCGGACTGCAGGCCTCTCTGAGAGACACGCTTTGGCTCAACACACTTACCAGGCTCAATGCGACGGTACCTGAGTGAAACATCCTGGCCTGGAGTTCCACAGGAGAGCAGATCTGATGGTCTAATGGTCCCTTCTGGCCTGACCCACCACCAATCCAAAGCCCGTTACAATCGCTGGACAGCATCACTCTCCCCATGTTGCAGATGGGGAAACTGAGGCACAGAACGGGTCAGGAAGAGAATCGGGAGGAGCGCTCCATGCAAGCACCGGCTCCCACCTCCCTCCCTCCCCCCGGTGCTGCTGTCTCTGTGGGATGCAGCACTGCGGGGACTCAAGGGGGGACAGGCAGCTCCATGGGAGCCGGCACGCATGGGAAGCCGGCTTAAAAACTGGCTCCCCACACGTACTGGCTCCCACCTGCCTCCCCCGCACCCAGTGCTGCTGCCTCTGTATCAGAAGCAGGAACTTTTTCCTAATGTCCAACCTAAACCTCCCTTGCTGCAGTTTAAGCCCATTGCTGCTTGTCCGATCCTCAGAGGCCAAGATGAACAAGTTTTCTCCCTCCTCCTTACGACACCTTTTAGACACCTGAAAACGGCTCTCATGTCCCCCCTCCGTCTTCTCTTTTCCAAACTAAACAAACCCAATTCCTTCAGCCTTCCCTCCTAGGTCATGTTCTCTAGACCTTTCATCATTCTCGTTGCTCTTCTCTGGACCCTCTCCAATTTCTCCACATCTTTCTTGAAATGCGGTGCCCAGAACTGGACATGATACTCCAACTGAGGACCAGCGCAGAGTAGAGCGGAAGAATGACTTCTCATGTCTTGCTCACAACGCAGACTGTGTTTGTAAAATTTATTTTGTGATTGCTCCATAGGTAGTAATACCAAACAAGCACTAATAATTTTCCATGTACTTTCGTGCCATCATTTTGTGTGTTTGTCTTTATTTGGCTTCGCAAACAAAAGAAAAATGTAGATTTTTATTCTGAAATGCTTTAAAGCTAGTGTTTCTGACAAATGTTTGAATAAAAATTCAATGAGTTTGCAGTAGCAACTGTTTTGTAGGGGGAGAGGGAATGTGGAGGAAGAAAAAGCACTGTCAGTTTTGAAAAATGTAGCTCCTAGATAGGGGCCTACCAAATTCCATCCTAAAAAAATGCATCACAGACTGCAATCTAACATCTTTGTGAAATCTGGTCTTTTGTGTGTTTTGCTGGGGGGAGTTGGCAATGACAGTGGTCTGGGTGGAATTGTTGGTCATGGTACAGATGAAGCTGGGATTCATGGTATTAG